AGTGAATAGTGGTTGGTTTGATAACCGGACTGTATGTTTCATGGAAGTCAACGTCTGGACGTTGGTGAAAACCCTTTGCAACTAAGCGAGCCTTGTACTTGTCAACCGAACCATTAGGCAAATACTTGGTGCGAAAGATCCATTTACAGCCAACCAAATTCTGGTTGGGATGGGAAGGAACCAATTCCAACGTACCATTGTGAACCAGAGCATCATATTCTGTGGACAATGCCTGTCTCCATTTGGGGTCTTTTAGGGCTTGGTTGACAGTTGTTGGTTCACGAGTATCAGTATTTTGGTGGAGTTGGACTGAGAGATTAAGCTTTTGGATGGGTTTATGGATATTGTGTTTGGATCGAGTGACAATAACGCGCGAAGGGGTGGCGGTAGGGGAAGCTCGTTGAGTTGTAGTGGAGTGAGTAGATGTAGGTACGGGCTCATTAGTAGTGGGTGATGATGAGGGGTTGGTAAGGGATTGTAGGGATGTATTTTGGGTAGACGTGGAGGTAGGGTCAGCAGCTGAGGATGGTGTAGCAAGAACCGACAGTGTCATGGGGTACCATTCAGAAAGGGAGACAGACATGAAGCACTCATTATCAAATCGAAGGGAAGTAAACGGAAAGACAGATTCAACAAATTTTGCATGACGGGACGTGAATATGTGGGTGGTGGACGTGTCAAGTGAGAGATAGGCACTTTGGGTGAGAGAATATCCGATGAAGACACATGAAGATGATCGTGGAGCAAGTTTATGAGGCGTGTATGGCCGTAACCAGGGATAGCATAAACAGCCGAAGCTGCGAAGTTTGGAGTAGTTTGGCGGGGCACCAAAGAGCTTATGATATGGTGAAAGAAGTTGAAGAGTTGGTGTGGGAAGACGATTGATAAGGTATACAGTAGTAGAGAATGCATATGACTAGTAGGTTAAGGGCATGGATGCATGAGTCAGGAGTGACAACCCGGTTTCAACTATGTGACTGTGACGACGTTTCGAGTACCCATTGTGCTCGGGTGTGTGAGGTGGAGAAGTGAGATGGGCGATGCCATTGGTAGCTAGGAAACCTGTAAGAGCTTGATATTCCCCCCACCCCCCCTATTGTCAGAGTAAAGTGTAAGAATTTTGCGTTTGAAATGATTTTCAACAAGAGCCTTGAATCGAACGAAAACATCAAACACATGTGATTTCCATCTTAGAGGATGAAGCTAGGAGTATTTTGTGAAATGATCGACAAAGACAACATAATACTTGTAGCTATCAATTGAAGAGAGAGGAGAAGTCCATACATCAAAGAATAAAATTTCAAGAGGCGATGAGGAAGAGATGGTTGAAACAGAGAATGGTAATTTATGACTTTTATTGCACTGACAAGAATGACAATGAGAAGTTTTATCAGTGGAGCAATCTAATTTAAAGGAAGACATAATGTGCTTAAAAATAACTGTGGATGGATGACCTAGTCTGTGATGCCATGCGGACGAGGTGGTTTTGACATTGGAAAAGGCAAGAATCGGAGAAGTTGAAGAAGAGGTGACTGCCGGCCACTCATATACACCATCCTTAGTTGGACCCTACAAAAGAATTGTCCCCGTGCGTAGATCCTTCATAGAAAATGAAGATGGTAAGAATTCAATGGATGTGTTGTTAGTACGACAAAATTGGGATATTGAAATAAGATTCTTTTTCATGGAAGGTACACATAACACATTAGATAAAGTGAAGGATTGAGAGAGAGTTGTAAGAGAGGTTGAACCAGTGTGGGATATAGAGAGTCCTGTGTCGTTACCAATAATAATATCATCAGTGCCATCATATGGTGTGTGATAGGAGAGATTCTGGAGATCAGCTGTGACATGATGGGAGGCACCACTATCGAGAAGCCAAGTAGGACTAGTGGTGTTATCTGCGGTGGCTACATTGGCCCGAGGTTAAGATGGACGCGGCTGCCATGGAGTGTTGGGACGTGGTTGTCATGGGTTTGATGGACGAGGTTGCCATTGATTCCCTGAGGATGATGGTACTTTCATAGTTGGTTGAACTTGGCGAAAGCTAGGGCAATTAGCAAGTACATGCCCCTTGGTGTTACACCATTGACAGCGGCCAAGAAACAGACGAGGTGAGACACGCCCATCCGGAGTAGGTTTTTGTTCAACTTGACCAGTCTTCGGAGAGAATGATGAGAAACGATTGTTGGGGGGGGAGCAGATTTCTTGGTATGTGTTGGATTGGCCGTGGCAGGAAAATATGATGGCCTGGTCTTTTGTCGGAGGGTGAGCTCTTTGTTGATGAGTTTTTCATGGAGTTCATCAAACGAAATAGTGGTCTCACGACCATTAACAACATCAATAACAGATTGATATTCATCATCAAGACCGTCGAGAATTTTTTTCAATGAGATCTTCTTGGTCTAAAGGTTTGCCGAGAGCTACAAGTTCATCGGCACGGGTTTTGATAGACTGCATGTAATCGGATATAGTTTGTGCACCCTTGGTGATTTGTTTGAGTTGGTCTTTAATTTGTTTGATGTGGCCTCGAGAGGGTCGAGCATATGTATTGGTCAGAACCTACCAAAACTCGTAACATGTTTTAGATTGAGTGATGAGAGGAATAATAGAGGGTGACAGAGTTCCGACGAGTGCGCCAAAAATCATTTTATCCTGGTGAACCCAGGTGGTGTGCTCAGGATTGGATTCTTCCTTATTGTCTTTGGTGATCTTTTTAGGTGGGGCCGGATGAGAGCCATCAATGAATTTTTGCAGATCATAACCGATGAGGATCGCTTCACTGTAGTTTCCAAGAGAGGTAATTAGTTGTCGTAAGTTTGAGGGAGTTGTGGATGGTGATCATGATGAGAGGTTTGGTGGGTTCTTGGGAATTGGGAATGATAATTTGATTGTTGGCAGTGGCCATTGGAGAGGAGATGTTGAGAAATTAAAGAAGGATTGTGGAGATTTTTTTTTGATCAGAGCTCTGATACCATGAAGAGAAGGGAGAAGATGGGAGAATTGTTTTTGTTATTATTGATGAAATAATTACATGTATATATACATCAATAGTGCAAGAATCATCTAAACTAGGAAAGTATATAAATAGATATCAACACAATATTTGACCAAATCCTTAAATTGATTGTGCCTAATCAGCCAGCATTTGTTTCCTGCTTTGGATGGATTTGATATCTCTATTAATCAGCACAATATTTGATCAAATCCTTAATTGATGTTGCCGAATCACCCAGCTATTGTTGCCTGCTTTGGATGGATTTGATATCTCTATCAGGATCAAGTTGAGTTGAGCTGTACAGCAAAGTTCATATGTTCTGTTAGGCGAGCTTCGCTATAGCTTGTTATGAGATTGAGCTTGGGCCAATTCGAAGTATTTAGCCCATGGCCATTTACTTCTTGGATCCAAGCTGAACATTGGCTTGTATAAAATATATTTTAACCATCAACACTTTATTTCTTAGAAAGTACGAAAAATGAGTTTAAAAAGAGAAAGCAACCAATTTAACTAGTTAATCAAATGGTCAAATGGCGTGGAAGCTAAGGATGCATGAGGAAGGTCTTTAGTTCGAATCTAGCCATAAGCATCTTCGTTTTATGAAAACAAGTTTCCTTCTGAGCACATGTAGCTTCGCGCAAAATAAAGAAATAAAGGCTCACTTGGCAAAAGTTGCGTTTATCTTACTTAGCCCTACAGAATTACCGCCTTAGAATTAGCGTCTTCGCTGCTGGGCTTGGTAAATTTTATCGAAATTATATTATAGTTTTAATATATTTTTAATTTAATAAATAAAATTAAAACTTAATATATATTTGCTTAAATAGGATGTAGATAATAAGAAGATTGCGCTTGCAATCAAAAGATTAATTAGTAGAAACATGCGTTGATGGAAAACTCAATGTCATGTTACTGCTAACTAATGGAAAGATAACATTTCCACAATCTTAATAATAAAATTATATTCCACAATTATATGTAATGTATTCATTATTCTAATATTAAATTTTTTTTTTGAAGGATGAAAAATCATTGGATATGACGCTGGTTGATGGCGATGACAGTCAATCAATTCAATATAACCCAGGCTTATCTACACCTAAAGATAGTTGTGATAAAAATTCAAAGAAGAAGGTGTTTGCTAAATATAATATTAGTTTTATTATTTTAAAAATTAAATAATTAACATGATATTCTAAGATGAATATATTATTATCACAGGATGAGGAAACAATTGAATTGAATCAAGATGGTACCATTGATAATCAATCTATTAAATTAACTCTAGACTTATCCACACCGATATCCACCATTTATAGCAAAGGCAAAAAGAAGATTTTATATATTTCGCCTATTGCTACACTTGACTCTTCTGCATTTAAAACCCACCTGTAACCAGTAAAAAAGTAAGGCTACAATCAGGTTGGTTTATTTATACGTATAATTAATTTTGATATATACTTTTTTAATATTAAATTTACTAAATAAACATGTTTTACGTTTTGAAAAAATTAACAAAGAACCAGTTCTTTTAACTTTCAAGAAGAGGATTACGACAAAGAAAAAAGAATTAGAAGTTATTAGGGCTTTTTCTTAATGTTTTGTTTATTACATCTTATGACTAATTGATTGATTGAGAATTTTTTTGGCGATGCATCATTTGTGAATAATACTTTTTGAGCATTAAATTGTCTTATATCTTAATTTCATTCAAGTTACATTTAGAATATTTTGATTATCTTCATTTTATTCATTTATTATAAAAAAAAATTAGTTAAATGCTCTTAATTATAATTATAGCTTTATATAAGTTGTTTAATATCATTATTTCCAGATGGGTACATGTTATCTAACCTCATTATTTCCAGACGGGTACATGCTATCTAACCTCAATGGGGGTGAGTGAGAGTGAGGTTCACATGCTTAAAAGGGGGTTGAGTCGTTAGATCTTTAAAATTATATTCTGATGAGAGTGATTGAAACGCAACGAAATATAGATGAATTGCGATAAGACCGTGCTTAGCACGGTCTAAAACACTAGTTGTAATGTATGAAACTACTAGAGATACAGGTATTCAGTGTCAACATTGGCATACGACTACTTAAAAGTTTCAGTGAAGAATTCAAAGACATACACGGGACTAGCTCACAGAATTTAATTTTGTTAAAGTAAGAGAGAGAGAGAGAATCTTGGGTAAATTTCCCTTGAATTGAATATTGAGTGTGCACATATATTTATACAAGTAGAGGAGTGTGAGGTTTGTTCTCCCAAGCAATGTGGGACTAAAACCCACTACAATACACTATTATCAACAGCCCCCTTCAAACTCATGTTGGATCAAACAAAGTGAGTTTGCGTACAAGAAACTGGAACCGATGAACAGGTAAGGCCTTTGTGAAGAAATCTGCAAGCTCGTCAGCGGATGAAACATGAGGAAGTAGAATTGTCTTGTCCTTGATAACTTGGTGACGGACAAAATGAGCGTCGATCTCAATATGTTTGGTCCTTTCATGAAATACTGGATTATTAGCAATCTGGATGGCACTCTTATTATCACAGTAGAGAGGAGTAGGAGTCGTAACAGAAATACCGAAATCACTGAGAAGGCGACGAAGATGAATAATCTCTTTAGCTGTTGTGGACATTGCACGATACTCTGCCTCAGTACTGGAAAGAGCAATAACATCTTGTTTCTTACTTCGCCAGGAAATAAGGGAATCACCAAGAAATATACAATAACCTGTGGTAGACTTTCTGGTAGTTGGATCACCAGCCCAATCAGCATCAGAATATGCACAAAGCTCTAACTTAGATGTAGCAGGAAACAAAAGTGAGCGAGTGCTAGTACCCCGGAGGTACCGAAGAATCCGTAATAAGACAGCATAGTGTACAGAACGTGGGGCACTAACAAATTGACTGACAATACCAACAGCATGAGAGATATCTGGTCGAGAGATGCACAAATAGACCAACTGACCAACAAGATGTCGATATCGGGTAGGATCAGATAGAGGCTCACCGTCAGTAGAGCAAAGTTTGACATTCTGCTGGAGTGGAGTATCGACAGTTGTATTATCAGTTAACTCAGCTTGATTTAGAATATCTGAGAGATACTTCTGTTGAGACAGTAATACACCCCGCGGGCCTTGAGAAATTTCTAGACCAAGGAAATACCGAAGAGATCCAAGATCCTTCATGTGGAACTGTTGTTGCAACTGAGATTTTGCGTATTGTATACCTGTCATATCATCACCTGTAATGATCATATCATCTACATAGATGAGTAATAAAACCCTGCCACGCGATGTAGTGCGAACAAACAGAGAAGCATCTTGATGACTTTCTATAAAGCCCGCTTTGAGCACAACATCGCGAAAACACTCAAACCAAGCGCGGGGTGCCTGTTTGAGACCATAAACAGCACGACGAAGGAGACATACATGTCCCGGAGGAATATTTGACCCTGGAGGCGGTTGCATATATACGGTCTCTGATAAAGAGCCATGAAGAAAAGCATTTTTGACATCCATCTGGTATAAGGGCCAACGATGAGCAGCAGCGACCGCAAGGAGAGTACGCACAGTGGGCATCTGAGCAACAGGAGCAAAGGTCTCCTCATAATCAATACCTTGTTGCTGAGTAAAACCTCTAGCCACTAAACGAGCTTTTCGACGTTCAATGGTGCCATCAGGACGAAACTTGACCTTATAAACCCATTTACTGCCAACAAGAGAGATCCCAGGAGGACAGGGAACAATATCCCAGGTATGAGTTTGCTGAAATGCTTGAAATTCCTCAGCCATAGCTTGTCGCCACTCTGGAATTTGAACTGCCTCTTGGAAGGACTTTGGCTCAACAATAGTATGAATGGCAGCAAGAAAGTTATGAAAGATAGGTGAATAAGAAGTAACAGAAGCATACCGGGCAGGCATGACATGTGGGCGTTTGCCTCGACGAAGAGCAAGAGGAACCTCAGGCGGGGGAGATGCTGGCGCAGGTGCATGAAGATCAACAGTATTTTCTGGAGTGAGAGTTGTGTCCACAGGATATGGATTAGATGGTGTAAGAGAAGACTCAGGTGAGGAAGAGTCAACAGAAGGAGAGGGAGAGATGTCAGGGAGATCTCGAAAGGAAAATTGAGGTGAAGAAGTGGGTGATGCAGTGGACGGGGAAGCATGATCGGTAGAGTGGAGGAAATTAAAGTCATCAGAAGTAGAATAATATGGAGAATCCTCTTCGAACTGAACATGACGAGATATATGAACTCGACGAGTTGCGGGATCATAACAACGATAACCTCGATGTTCTGAACTAATTCCTAAATAAACACAAGAAACTGCTCTGGGAGACAATTTATCACGTTCGTGAGATGGCAGAAAAACAAAACATCGACAACCAAAAACGCGAACTAGATCATAACGGGGAGGATGAGTATAAACACGACTATAAGGAGTAGCACCGGAAAGAGAGCTAGATGGAGTGATATTAATGGCATGAGTCGCGGTGAGAATAGCCTCAGCCCAGAAACGACGAGGAACAGAGTAAGAAATGAGCATTGATCGGGCAGTATCGAGGATATGACGATGTTTGCGTTCAGCAACACCATTTTGCTCATGAGTGTAGGGACATGACTGTTGAAAGATAGTCCCATGAGAGGACATGATAGAGCGCATGGCAGAGGATAGGTACTCTTTGGCACAATCAGAACGAAAAACTTTAATACGAGATTGCCATTGAGTGAAAATCATAGCAGTGAAGGCTTGATAAGCAGTAAGTACGTCAGAGCGATTCTTAAGTAGGTAAACCCATGTAAAACGAGAGAAATCGTCGATAAAACTAACATAATATAAGTAGCCAGATGAAGAAGGCAAAGGAGCTGGCCCCCAAATATCAGAATGTACTAAATCAAATAAGGAAGTGGATACAGATGTACTCATTTTAAATGGTAAAGCAGTGAATTTAGCCAATTTGCAACCAGCACATGACTCAATACTAGAACTAGATGATACAGGACCAAGTACTCCAGACTGAATAAGACTCTCCAGCCTTTTATTACACACATGACCAAGTCGTCTATGCCATAAATTGGCAGGAAGCGAGGTAGAGGGTTTTGACGAACAAAGAGAAGCAACAAGAGAACGTGGACGTATGGACTCTGGAAGGTGAAGATATTCCAGAAAATACAGTTTGTGCCTCCTACGACCCGCCCCAACCGTCTTGCCCGTCTGTGGATCCTGCACAATACAAGTATCAGAAGAAAATGAGACAAACAGGCCCGCCATGCATAAAGAGCTAATAGAAATTAAATTCAAGCACAATTGTGGAGCCACATAGACGGGACCAAGTGTTAGACGACCAGATGGATCATTTTGTGGGGTAATAGAGCCATACTGAGTAATGGACAATGGTTGTCCAGCAGCTGTGTAGATAGGAGGAAGAGAGGATGAAGTAAAGACAGAGGATAAAAGTGAGGCATTACAAGTCATATGAAAGGAACAACCAGAGTCAAAAATCCAGAGATCATTCATACCAGAGACTGAAGGATTAGCTGAAGAACCAGCAAAATGCATACCAGAGAGTTGTGCGGCGGATGTAGAGGTGATATGTTGAAAAGCATCAAGTTGACGGCGAAGACTTTCAATAGCTTGAATAGTAGAGTCTGAAGTAGTAGAAGGTATAGCATTGGCCAACAATCCTGGTGTACGAGAGGGTTGAGACTGAGGGGGTCGCCGACCACGTCCAGTACCTGAGGAACGTAACTCAGGATGAAGCTTGAAGCATGTCTCAATGCGGTGTCCTTCCTTCTTACAATATTTGCAAGAGAGCTTAGATCGAGCCTGTGGAGAGGGAGCCTGTGGAGAAGTATAATTCATAACAGGAGCAGTGACAGGTACAGACAAAACAGTCTCGAGTGAAGAGGTAGGAGTGTCTGTTGACAAATTGAGTCGTGCTGTCTGCTGCCGGGTCTCATAAGCAGTGAGAGCTCCCATAACTGAGGCCAAAGTCGGAAATTGAGGCTGGTGAAGTAGTTGATCAGCCATAGTTGAATATTCAGGAAGGGACTGAAACAATTGATGCACCTCATGCCGTTCGTACCAGGCTAGCCAGTCTTCATATGTGGAATTACGTCCAGGAAGCATGGAGCGTAACTCTGTCCAAAAAGCTTGCATTTGTCCAAAATGGGACTGCAGAGATGAACTACCTTTGCGTTGTAGAGAAATGCGTTGCAGAAGATATGCCTCCCGTGCACCCGAGCACTCAGTGAAACGCTCAGTGAGACGAGTCCACATGGCCTGAGCAGAGGGAAGCGAGCCAATCTCGACAGTGAGACCAGAGCCAACACAGCGAGTGAGATAATCCATAACACGAAATTCCTGCAATTGCCACTCTGAACTCTCCTTGACATAGAGAGCACGAGCAGTCTGAAGATCGACATCACCACTGCCAGAGGCAATAGTACTGGATGAAGCAACAGTGCTGATGGACGGTGGAACTGGTCCCGTACTGGTGAGATGATCAAGCAAACCAGCGCCACGCAAGGCATTGGTGACAATGGTGGACCACCCTGCCCAGTCACTTTGATCATTGAGGGGCAAAGGTGGTTTGGGAATCTTCTCTGAAGGAGCCATAACAGCAATCTTGAGACGTTAAGATGTCGAGATGCTGTTACTAATGTCGTTCGTTTGAGGCCGAGAGACGGCTTGAAACGACGATGCCGTTAATTTGAGACCGAGAGACGGTCTTGAAACGACAATGCCGTTAAAATAGAACCCGAAGGTTAGAATGAAACCCGAAGGTTTAAAATAGAACCCGAAGGTTAGAATGAAACCCGAAGGTTTAAAATAGAACCCGAAGGTTAGAATGAAACCCGAAGGTTTAAAATAGAACCCGAAGGTTAAACGAGAACGCGAAACGCGTTAAGAGGCCGCAAAACGACAAGGTCAAAATATCTGGCAGATGAACGCCAAATAATTAAAAATAAAAATAAAAAAAATAAAACATTAAACGGCTGCAAAGCAATAAGGCCAAGATTTGGCAAAAGAACGCAAAAGCGTTAAAAATTTTATTGAAAGGGAAATAGCCCTAGCTCTGATACCATGTTAAAGTAAGAGAGAGAGAGAGAATCTTGGGTAAATTTCCCTTGAATTGAATATTGAGTGTGCACATATATTTATACAAGTAGAGGAGTGTGAGGTTTGTTCTCCCAAGCAATGTGGGACTAAAACCCACTACAATACACTATTATCAACAAATTTAAAAAAGTTATTCCAGCATAAGATGAAAATATCCCTCGTCTGCTTCATCTCAGATAATGTTACTTCTCTACACGTTTGGTTCTGGCGGAACATGGCTTTCACTTCCTCGTATGAGCTTGAATAACTCAAGCACTAATATCTCTGCTTTCAATCTTTTAGCCTTTTCTGTCACCCCCACTAACAACATCAAGTTTATTATAGCCTGCAACATATCAAAAGTCAAAAACAGTTTTCAGAAGAAGAAAAACATGCAAGTAGCTGGGAAAAGGGGGAGAGGGGGAAAAAAAGAAAAGAAAAAGAGAGCCGATCTTTAGGATATTACAAAAGCGTCGTTCGAGACATAGCACTAAACCAAGTGTTATTGTCTTACTGACCACAACCTATTTCTCAGAGATCATAGCATCGATGGAGACTACCTATACACCAAGCACAACCTGCATACTACGTCTTATAGGTAAACTCTTTTTCGTTAAGCAATTCTGCAGCCAATCTATTCTATAGTACTCCACCTACACAGTTCACGACTTTAAAATCATTCCTCCAGTATTATTTTGATCCACTAACATGTCTATTTTCGTATACCAACTGCTGGTGGAGGAGAGTTGGATGTAAAAACGCAGTTTCCATCTACCTAAAAGCAATTACAAGCTTCAATGTGCCCTGTATTGATCACATCAAAACTCTTGTATCTAAACTGATATGATTTACTCCCACCTCTTCATCTCACGAGGCATTATTATCTGGGTTGGTATATTAAGAAATAATGTGGAAAACTGGCCTTACCTTGAAGAATACACTGAACAATGACAAATTAATATCTACTACACAACTAGATGCAGAACTCACCCTGCGGATTTGTGGTCGCACATCACTAGGCGGGGCATAACTTTGTATCTCATTGCAAACAGCGTCAGCTTCCGCGTAATCACCCTGCCATGAGATTTTTGGGGATAAAAGTTGTCAAATAAACATTTCAACAAGAAATATGTCCATGTTTAAAGGTCAACTATAAGTACAATCACCACATGAATGCTCTTATATCAATTTATGCTTGCATTATTGTTTTATTTTTTAATATACTATTAAAAAGTAATCAGATGGAAAATTGATGTATTTATGGTCAGGGATGCATCACTTCAATGGGTCAGATTTCATTTACTTTCGTTAAACCATGTCAAATTCTTTTTCGGATAACACTTTGAAGAACAATTATGACAAAATTATCTCACTTTGAAGAACATGAATTCATTGTATGTATTTGAATTCCGGGATGTTTATTAAGAGCTAACCCCAGAAATATGTTTGAAAAGGGAAAAAATTGGGCACGAAGACTTTTTTTTTTTGTTTCGTTCAATCTTTGAATTAATAGTTGACTGTCAAATATGTTTAACTTGTTCATGCAGTCCTCTTGTGCTACGTACACTGGCTTTAGTATTCTTTGTTGCTTACCGCATTTGAAGTAGAATTCTGCAGAAGTTCTGTATAGTTACATTGTTTTTTTCCCCATTGTTATCCTGTTATCAGTCTAAAGAGTTATGTTTCATATCTTGGAAATTATTTTGCATAAGTATTCTCATTAGGAATTTCATAAGATTGC